TAATCAGTGGGAATAGAGGAGGAGGGGGGGGGGGGGTAACTATAGCGTCATCTTGTGTCAAAACTTCCAGGTACAAAACAAGCAATTACTCATTGACAGTATATTTGAACAGTCTGTTTCATTGATTTTTCCTAAAGAAAAATTGTTTAGTAATACTTAAAAAAATGCTGATTCAAAAGTTTTTAAATGTTAATGAGCTTTGTGTAAGACTATGTATTTGTGTGTAAAAAATGATAAATCTTGAAATTTTAATGTAAAATACTAGACAGTATAAATGAGACATTTGAAAGAGTAAAACTCTCAGTTTAAGTTATTTTAAGAACAACTAAATATTTCATCTGAGTTGTATTGTGCTATATACCGAGTTATAGGGTTATAGTTGAAAACGAATTAGATAAAAAGTTATGAGCATTTTGTGATGAACTGTATATTAAGCAGTTTTAAATATTTTTGTTTAAAAATGCACAAGTTTTTAAGGTAAAACTAAAAATGGAAATATTTAGGTCATGAATGCCTGTGTTTAACAGATTGGCAACATATTGTGGATTATGAAGTGGATTTTAAAGCATTTGTGAACAGTGACATCATGAAATATTTCTAGGTCAGTATTTTTTTTTCTAAGTACGGAAAATTTTGTTGGAAAAGTGTAATTGTCAACTTGATGCTGTTGGGTCATATTAATAGGTCATTTTGTTCAAACCAAATGGGTTATTGTTTAAAATCATCATACACAGTTTTTGTACACTAAAAAAAAAAAGTTTTTTACCTAAATATGTTGGGTTCCATGGTCACATGGTTGTGTGTAAAATCAGGATTGTTGTTGTTATTTCACTGCGTCACCACAATATTGAATGGGTCCAAGAAGGTAGTATTCAAATGCTTATGGCAGTTTCGCTTCTTTTGTGGCACTGTATTGTTGCTGTTACTGTAGTTGCCATCAGTTTCCAACTTGAGAAAATCCCTGTTAAGAATCCATGTCCTCAAAGAGTATTCAGTTGGGTAAACTAAGTTATTGTGAAATGTTAGAAGAAATGACACAGTGGGATTTTTTATACAGAAGAAAAGGAAGGGAAAAAGGGACATTTCCTGTGATAAAAAAAATGTAGTACTGCCCAGCCATATAAGTTTCAATAAACAAATTGCCATCATTTTAAATGCTGGAAACATTTTCTTTGCTAGACCTGGGGGAAATGACAAGTCTCCTCACTGGAACTTTATGCTCTTTGCAAGACTAGTTTTAAAAACTTGTGCTTGACATTCAGTTTCCTAAATTGAGAATTCCTGGACTTTGTGTACTATTGGACACAAACAGAAAATGGGTAGGCAAAACCAGCCTTTTTATCATGAACTCTTTAATATTTATAGAAGATCTAGTATTTATTACTACCCACTTGGATTGTTTTTACTTACAAATATGCTTCCATTTTGTAGTTTTTTCGAATTTGAAATTGCAAAGCACTTGGATTATTTTCAGATTAAATTATCTTCTAAGTAGCATGGATTAGGATTGATAGTTTCTTCGTCTTTCACAAATTATCTTTACCTTTGACTCAGAAATTCCCTGGCAAGGATTGTTTGCTAATGGGCATTTTTTTACATATGTTTATGTATATTTTCAACATTGTACACGTTTGAATTTATGTTATGCAGCCCTGAGGTTAATAAATGATTTTAAGGAATATGTTTCATTTTCCTTTAACCAAAAATTTTTAATAAATGATACGGTACCGTAACATTCCAATATAGGATTTGGCTACAGGATCAAAATCAAGTAAAGATTAGTCGCAAGAATTTAACAAGATGTGCCACAGATGTAAACTTTTTATCACCCATCCTCCTCCTCCCAAAAGGTTCCAAAACTTTTTCAACCTCATATCCCACATTTTCTTTACACATTGGTAAACAGCCAATACTACACAAAGGCCAATAAATTTACCAAACCAACAACAAATGTTCAAGAGAATCTGATAAATAACAATAACATAAAGACATTTATCATTCAGTTTGTTCTGATACAAAATTACACGTCTCCTACTTGAAAATATAACACTCAGCATATGCACTTAATGCTATGGCACACAATAAGAATCAAGAGGTGACCTTTGAGATGACCTTCACAGAAGGCCAAGGTTCAGATAAGCTTTAAACCTAATCCCTACCTAACAATCAACACAATGAATAAAATCATAATTATTGACAGAAGATACCTGTTGGTTTGTTTAAGAATGGTTTCATGAATGGTATAAGAAAATCTGTAAGGTTTCTGAAAAGGAGCAAAACCATAGGACTAAAATAGGTACCCTTTTATTACAGTCATCTCCACTTAAAAATACCAACTGGTGCAATTTAATTGCCTAGCAGGATATAACATGTACAAATATATACATATAACAACTTTGTTAGATAAATATGTAATCAAACAAGCTTTTACTTTAACACCTAGTACTGCTGTACTGTGGAAAATAGCATTAAAAATATCTAAACTTAAGTGCAGAGCTACTAAACCAATTTATACAAGCACAGAAATCTACCAAGGACATGGAAAAAGGCATTTAAGACCATTTAAAAAAAATCAGCAGAACCAAATTAAGTTGAAATTGTCATCCACTTCTTTTTCATCTTAAATTACTGTCAATTATAAAAATATCATCAAAACTTGGAAATCATTTTTTGCAATTTCTCACCACTAACAAACACACAAACCAACTTCGTCAAAACATAACTTCCTTTGTTGGCAGAGATAAGAATAAATAAATAAACAAATAAATAAGCACATAATGTTCATAACACTAATCTGCTGCACCATGCAATGTGCTAACTATTCTGGTTGATGCCAGGGAAGGTGATCATCTCCCAACAACTCAAAAAATGGTATATTAACTTTCCTTGAACAATTTCACTAATATCGAGAAAGTCATAATCCAAAGGGCTTCTGTAGTATGGAAATAATTCATGGATTTCAAACCACTTAGTACTTATGATATTTTTCCATATGCTGAGGGAAGTATTCATGGAGGGCTAGTTTGTAGTAATTTAAAAAGTTAAAAAAANATATATATATATATATATATGTATATATATATATATATATATATATTTTTTTTTTTATTTCTTACTTTATTCATTTTTTCGTTCATAAATCAAAATCAAGGGAACCTATGTCCTGAAGCCTCAAAATATCAATAATAACACTAAGAACTTGAGCTGACAACAACATTAATACTATCCCTATGTCAAATGCCAGTAAATCAGCCAGTGAAAATTTGTGCATTTATTCAGACAGAGGCCATACTGTTTTAGCTTTGGGTCTGATTCTTAGACCCTGTCATCTTGAATGGCCATCAGGGTAAATTTTTTTTTAGCACAGACTGCTAAGAGTTCTCACACTCAAAGTTACTTATGTGGAAAAAATCATCTTTGGAGAATATTTCACCTACCTGCATACTAAGGACCGTAAGGTTCTCTAAAGTGTCCAGTCCAGAGATTCTGGTCACTTTATTCTTGCCAATATACAAACTGTCTAATTTCACCAAGGACCCTAGGTTTTCTATGACCTGCGGAGATTAAAAAAAGATATAAATAATCATGTGCTTTGTTGTCAACAGTGATATCATAATTTCACGGACTGTCATATTTCAGAAAGCTAAGAAGTTTTTTTCACATACTGTAAGCCCAAGGAAAATTTTTTCATTACAAAACGAGGCAATACATTTGATATTGCTTCAAGTTATTATAATCAGGCTAGTCCAGTTCATAATGTTCTCTATTGTCTTGAGATTGTGAATGATATGCAGGAATGCATAAATTGTCACAAAAATTAATTAAAAAAATAATAGTATGCAAATTAACATTTTTTTCAAAAACATATCTGTAATTCTAAAATGTCCAGATGAATTGTAAAACAGCATACCCTAATCTTATTTGCCCCAAGTTCTAACATTTCAAGGCTTGTTAGCTGAGATATGTTTTCAATTTTTCCTATCTTGTTCTGTACAAGGAAGAGTTTCTTCAGTTTTGTAAGGTTGTCTAAGTTTTCTATTTTCCGTATTCTGTTGAAGGACAGGTCAAGGACTCTGGAAATAACAGATAAAACTTTTTTTAATAACATAAAAGCAACATTAGCTTATTCAAACTGACAGGTGCTTTGCTTGAAATTTTAATCTCTTTCTTTTCTATGCTGTCGTTTTTAGACCATGAGTAAAACCAAGACAATCTGTTTGATAGTCAGTTTAGCCAATCCATCCACAATGCCAATTTAAATAAAAAATAAATCTATTACAAGAAGAACACATAATTAATTAATTAGTTAATCTATTTTTTAAATAGGCAAGAGAGAGAGAGAGAGAGTAATAGAGACACAGAAAGAGTGAGTGAGACAAAAAAATTCATTATATTCTTTGTGAATCTATTACAGATTTAAAATAACATTTGTTTGAAAAGAATATGCCTGGCCCAGTTTCTCCCACTTAAGCATAAAAATGTACACACTGGCTACTCACTCTAAGTTCACCAAAGCATCTAAATTTTCAATTCTAGTAATCTGGTTGTCGTAGAGGTCCAGCTCTCTGAGCGTTTGTGCCACGCAAGCCACATTCTCAATGGCTTTGATTAAATTATTTCTGAAACATATGCTCTGAAATATGTAAAAAAGGGGGTTATTTAATTACCAAATTTATTTATCTTCTCTCCATACAACAGAACATTTCCTATGAACATACATATTTAGTTATTATTAAAATCTGAAACAGTATCATATGTGGAATTTTCCTACCAGACTAAATTTTTCTCCACAAAAAAAAAAAAATCATTATCCCACATTTATAAACCATTGCAGGACCAATATCTGCACTTGGTTTCAATATTTTTAAACAATTTCTTAAATAATTTAGTTCATGAGAGATAGTCACTTACACTGCCAAATCTCTTGTGTATCAAAGAAAGAAATATAGACATCAGTCATGGGTGTAGATAGCAAAAATTCCCTAGTGAAAACCAACACTTTATTCAACAAGACCAACTCACCTCTACACAAGTAAGCACTTCCAAGTTCTCTATTCTTCCTATTCTGCTGTGATTCAAGTCTATATCTACAGCTGTGGGATCTAACTGAACCATTTCTTGGACTTCTTCTTCAGGCTGTCTGTCATCTTCTTCCTCATCTGTGGACATGCTGACAAAGTGGTCTAATTGGAAAACCAAGGAGAAATTTGCATCGTTATTACTCTATTTACTCAAAACGAATCCAAATTGGTACTTATGCAGATGAAGCAGCATCCCCCAAAACACACACACACACATACACACACAATTTTGATTTCAATGTTTTCCTTGATTCAGTTATGTTGTGAATTTGATCAATGTCTCTGCTACTGAAATAAAATTGCTTGGCAATTACATTGGTTTTTCTGCGTATTATGAGACACTTCTAGTGCATTCACATTTAATTATTAACAGCTGAAGTCACTGTAAGTACGCTACAAGTAGTCCAAAGACTAAAAATAGTGAATAAAATGTGTCTTCCTCATACATTTGCGTTACAATATCACAATGAATCAGTTACGTCACCAGAAAAAATTAATTAAAAAATTTGAATAACAACAGCAACTGAATTTATCAGTTTTCATCTAACACATTAAATACTGAAAACAAACTGTCATTTCGAATGAAATAATAAAACATCTCACTCTCGCCCTCTCCGTCCGCCATATTTCCAAATTTGCCCTAGTTCTACGAAGTTGACCTTTTGGTGATCAATGATTGGCTATAAAATACATTATGTGCGATACTTGTGTAGCCTCGCTTTCGCACAGGATAGCAACAGAGCGACAACAATTCTATAGAAAATCCGGCAATATCGGGGATTCAATCCCCTTTTTATCAAGTATGACTCTAAATCCTCTCGCCAACCCGAAAGGCGTAAAGCTGGTATGTGAACTGTGTCAGAAACCAGCGTTTATACAGTGTACAAAATGCAGAGTTACGTATTATTGGTAAGTGAAAATGCCTCTCATTTTCAACTAAGGCTAAGCGTTTTCCTGATACTGTGATAGTTTGTCTGTGTTTTTCGTTTTAGGTTACCTTAATGTGGGTGCCGGTTTTGATGCATTTTAAGTGAAGTAAAGCACGTTGTTTATCATGAGATTTTTAGTTTTATTCAAACAATATTGCATAGAGCAAAGGCCCCTAATAGATTGGGTTCATTTTCTTTAAATTTAAAGCAAACGTCTCCAATGGCCTCTGCACTGCATCAGCTAGTTAATATACTCATGTAATGATGTAAAGGTGTTGTTATTAAGACAACATGATAGCGGATCTCATTTTATACCAGTAATGTGATTTTTATCATCAAAGTATATTATGCAAAGGAGATTTCTTTGTTGAGAAGGTTGTTATGAAAGTGTGTACATCAATGGACAACATAAAACCAAATGTCAATCAGAAATTAACCCAAGATATTTCTATGTGTGTTATTAATTTTTCAGTGGTGTAGAGCATCAGAAAGCCGACTGGTTAGGGATCCATGAAAAGATTTGCCAGCTCTTGATTCCTTTGAGAACACCCATCCCCTTCCTAGCTTCAGATGAAGAAAGACAACATAGAAAGGACCAGTTATTACAGAGACAGGTACAATTTTAAAGAGATTTACATTTGTCTTATTTAATCTAAAGGATATTTGTCCAAAAGTCCATTTGTTTGATGGTAAGAAAGAGACAGTATAATTTTTTTTTTTTTCAAAATAAACTGATTGAGGCTTTGTTCATTTATTTATTTATTTATTTGATTGTTTGTTCAGTTATCACCTACATCCATCTTGGCTTCTTAATACTCTGTACTGAGACTGTGACAGAAATTATCAATGTCATTACATTGATACCTTTTCAGTAGATTGAATTCATTGCAAAGTGTAATTTGCTTTTCTTTATTTAAGGAAGTAATAGTACTAGTGTCAGTTTCTGTAGTAACTACATTTTTTGGAATTAAAAGAATAATAATAATGGTGTGATTCAGAGTGGTATTTTTGACATGTTTTAACATAGAAAATATCTTAATTTCAGAGACACATGATAGATCTGACAAGAACAACAGGGCAGAAGCTTTTGTTTGAGGGAAGACACGAGCAAGCCGTTCCAGCTGCAATGCAGTCACTGAGATTTGCTATAGAAGTCCATGGATTGGCTAGCATAGAACTGGTGCCTTCATATTTAATACTGGGAGAGGCCAGCATAGGTGAGTGCTGTGATTTGCTATAGAAATTTATGGTTTAGCTGGCATAGAACTGGATGAAACTCTAGAACTCTAGTCCTCCTGGTCAACATTGTCTTCACAAGGAGAAGGACTTCTCCATAGTGAACGTCTCTTGAATTACATTGTAAGTATTAATAGATATAAATTAAAAAAAAAAACATTTATTAGTATAAGTTATCACTGGACATCCAATTATCTCCAAAAATCCTTCCCTCTCCCCAGGTTTAGGTAGACTATCCCAGGCAGAGGAATACCTGATGCAGGCACAGTGGACAGTGGTCAAGACCCCAGAGTGCTCAGATGCCATCAAGTCCAAACTGTACAGGAACCTGGGACTGCTCTATGCTGCCAAGGGGGAGTATGAGGAGTCTCTGAGGCAGTTAGCTGATGATGTGAGTTTTTCCAATTGTGTTAGTTGAGATTTTCCAATTGTGCTGGTTGTGATTTCTCATTGAGCGCATTCAGAACAGCAGACTAACAGATCCATGGATCAAATATGCCAACCCCACTAAAAAGCTTGCCACTTAATTCCTGATTAGACACTGGCAGATTCCCCATGGGGAGTATGCAGCAAGCATTCAAGTGGATCGGCAAATTTTGATCTGTAAGTCCACTGTTCTGAATGCAGTAATTATGTTTGAGGATTTTTAAAAGATCTGAGTTATGAGTGCAGGTTGTGTTAAATTTTGTGAGGATTATTTAAAAGGGTGTTTAACATATCAGATATGCTGCTTATATGCACAGTTTTTGCAGTCATCAGTTATACACAATATAACAATTTTATTGCAGTGTAAGTAGCAAACAAGACAGTTGGACTGTTTTAGATCTTAATTTTTCACCATTTTTCTAGATTTTCCATGCCTCCATGGAGTTTTCCCCAGATGACATTAGGACAAGTGGCGGATATTTCCACATGGCAAATGTTTTCTTTAGACAAAACAGAATGGAAGTAGCAGACTCTCTATATGCTAGGGTAAGTCTGTAGATAACTTTCTTTAGACAGAACGTAAATAGCAGACTCTCAGTATGCTAGATTAAGTCTAAAGATATATTTTTTTTTTCATACAAACTGAAATAGTAGATTCTCTGTGTATTATCATTATTATTTTTTTAGTAGAAGTATTATTGTTAGTAGTAGTAGTAACAGCAACAGTAGTAGCTGTTACTGTGGTAATGTAGAAGTAGTAGCAATTACTGTAGTTTGTAGTGATAATTGTGGTAGTTCTTAGTAGTGTTTTTTCCCTCAGTGCCAAAATTTTATTACATTCACACAATGGCTCTCGATCATTACTTGTCAGCGAGATACAACAGTTAATACTTCAGTTGTCGTATTGTGCACATTCCAGGCCATAGCTAGGCAGGTGTGATCACTGAAAATTGTTTTAGTTGTGATATTGTGTACATTCCAGGTCACAGATAGCTGGTATGACTACTTACAAAAGATAGTCAGTGTTCGAACAGCCACACCCATAGATACAACAGGAATTGGAGCCATCGCCATGGAGATAAACCAAGAGGAAGAGGAGGGGCTGGGTGAGTGGTTTTTAACTGACTGGAAATTTGTGTCAGTGGTATTTGACATTTGAATGAATGAATGGATTTTGCCATTGTCCATCAGCGGCCTGTTGGCCTCCTTTTATAAGCATGTCTATGAGCTTGCTCTACACCATCCTGCCCTTTTGACATTTATGTGCTGTAATATCTTCAAATTATCATACACCCTATATTTTCCAATATTTCATTAAGTTTTTATTTTACATTATTTTATTTTTATATATAATTTATTTATTTATTTTTTAAGATCTGTTATTTTCAAATACTTACTGCAGTGCACTTTGGGAAAGATTTTTTCCTGATTATCTTTCTCAAGGTATTTAAAGTACTGTAGGGGTATAATAGTATATAACTTAGTTATAGTTATCCTATCTGACTGGCAGTTGGAATGACACTGTCAACCATTTATCATGATATTTTCTAATTATTTTTAACATATATTTTAGATGAGGCCCAGGAAGCAGAAGCCAAACAGGTCCTAAATGCCATATATGACATCAGAGATCAACAGTCAAATAAAAAACCTGAAATTGTTGCCAAAATTTGCCATGCTTTGGCTATGCTGTATTTTATACTACATGAAGTGGAGAAGGTATGCTCAGAAGGATAAAAATTTTTAAAAGGGGCACAATGATTCTGTGATGTGTTTTTTTTTTTCATGCTTGACATGCTTTAACAACATTTTACTTTGGTATTACTAATACTTCCTATAAAAAGCTCTTTCTTGATTAGAAAATGTTATCTGTGAAGCAATAATTGCAAAGAAAATATTAAGATTTTTTTCATTTTTTACAAACATTTTTGGATTATTTTGACAATTATATTTAAAAATATACATTTATATATTTTACAAATTTGACCTATATCGTTATAAAAGTATTTTAAATGACACAAATTATGATGCATGATGCATAATGGGAAAAAAAAAAGAAGAAAAAAAAATGCAGTCGATGTTGTCTTTTATTTTTTCAGGCCAAAGAGTATGGACGGAAAGCAGTGGTGACGAGTGAGGGTAATCCTGATGACGAACTGTCACGATCCATTGTAGAGTTCATGAAGATTTGTGACTCAGTCAATGAGGTCACCATGTAAACATTGTAGAGTTCATGAAGATTTGTGACACAGTCAATGAGGTCACCATGTGAACATTGTAGAGTTCATGAAGATTTGTGACACAGTCGATGAGGTCACCATGTGAACACTGTAGAGTTCATGAAGATTTGTGACTCAGTCAATGAGGTCACCTTGTGAACATTGTAGAGTTCATGAAGATTTGTGGCTCAGTCAATGAGGTCACCATGTAAACATTTTAGAGTTCATGAAGTTTTGTGACACAGTCAATGAGGTCACCATGTGACCAGGAGAGGTCATGTCATAGGTCATATTCAAGGTCATATTAGGTCAAGGAAAAGATCTATCAAGGGAATGAATATTAGATCAAGCGTGTAGTTGTATAAATGTTCTTGGTTATGTTTCCCTGTAAAAGCAGCATATAGTGGGTTGTGTCATATATATATATATATATATATATATATATATATATATATATATAAAGATACAATATTTGGTGCAGTATTGAAGGGGAGTAACAGCATTGTACCATCATTTATACATGGGACCTATGGGAGACATAATATTGATTTTGATCAAATGTAGATCTTTGTATCTTTAATTTTTTAAGCTGAAAAGAGAACGGATACCACTTCTGTCTCCACTTTAATTCCACTGATGTATCAATTTTCCAAACACAAGACGTCTGCTGTCAAATTTGTAAATAGAACGTTGTATATAATAAAATTGTATAAAATATTTTGTTTATTTACTGATTTTATTATATTTAGTAGAAACTATCACAACAGTGTAGGCTTGTACACCAAGTGAATTACTTGGCCAAATCCTGTAGAAGCAGGTTAATTTGCTGTTTACAATTAAATGAGGGAAGTGAAGTAGCAGGCCCGCCGTGCATGCTGCAAAAATGTCTCTTTAACGATGTTGCTCTAAAAAAAAAAATAATGATTTCCATAGTGTTCTCATTTACAAAGATTTGTTAATATATATTGGTAGATATCAGTAGTCAGTTTGTCCCTAAATGAATTTTGCTTACTTCAGAAGCAATCAGAAGCATTGTCTATCCCATTCCTAGACACTCAGGGCTAAAGTACATTGTAAATAAGACTTGTATAACGCATTCAAGAATAATGAGACAAAAACGTTTAGACATTTATTCCTTTTCGTTATTTGTCGTGCCGCTTGTGAGCATGTATAAAAGTAAAGAAAACCATCAACTTGCTGAAGCTGTATGTATCCTAAACATTGAAGGTAAAAATGAATGACCGCTTTCCTTAAATGATCAGTTTTGAAGTTTCAAGAATTTTTTAGTGCAATGCATCAATGAAATTAATCAAATTGAAACAAAAGGGTGACAATAATATTTGCTAAATTCTGCTTGGCAATTTATTGAATTTTTTTTTTCGTCCTTAGTTGTGTAGTGTAGTTGCCGTTATTTTACGGTAGTTCTATATACGATATGATTAATCGTGTGTGCATTATTTGCATTTTTCAAATGCGCGCACCTTATACAATGAATGTCTCTATTCCGTCGATTTCTCCTGTTTTTGCATCTATGGTAAAGTGACCGTATGACTGTGCTTTTAATCCACCCGTTGATGCGATAGTCTCGTACGTGTACAGACCTGATTTGAAGAGCGTGGCTGGCGTTGGTGTTTTATACTCTAAGGTTTCTGCATATTGCAAATATTCCAAAACACTTGGCTGAAATGGAATTATCAGTAGCGTTATTACAAATTAAAACTATCTACAACAATAATAATTCATTTAATAAGATTGGACTGGAGAGGGAGGAGGTGGTGTCGAACGAAGTGGAGACTGTGTCACGGAGACCACAAATTTCCCCATCAGCGATATGTTGTTGATAAAGGTACAGTGTAATCATCATCCCGCCTGTCACGCCACTTTTAGCGGATGCCGTTCACAGACTACGCTTTTCTTGTTGTAGGCAATGGCCGATATCTGAATACTTTCGATTTCTGAAAAAAAAATCACACCGATGGTCCCCTCTTGAAATTAGGATTTTGACTAGCTGAGTCATAGTTCTAAACCGTACCAAAATAGCACCGTTGGCCCTTGAAAATGCCAAAAATTTTTGGGGTCCGAACCCAACGCCAAAGGGGGGAGGGAGGAGAGAGAGGTCGGATTCTTATCAAAGGACTCCCCCTTCAAAAAATCCTGGATTGTGTAGAACTTCTTTGGTTTTGTTTTCCTTCCAGCTGATTCTGAGGAGTCTTCTTAAGCACCAGGGTTTAAAGCTCTCAGTCCTTTTCTGACCGGAAAGTATTCTGAATTGTAGGACGCGATGGGGGAAAACCAGCGTTTTGAGGAGCCTGTTTTGAGGATAATACTTCTGTATTTCCAAATGCTGCTTATTGCAATTGTTGCATTCTTTGCTATGGCAATTCTCCTCTTGATCTCAAGTTAATCATCGACAGTGTTTGTAAAAGTTGCCACAAAGAATGTAAATTCTGAATTTTAACAGGGTCTCCATCTATCAAAATTCTAGAATCTGTAGGGGTTCTTTGCACAGTAATGTAAACTTGCAGTATTTGCCTCTTTCAGGTATAATCTTTACCTTTTTTTTTGCCAATTCAAACCCCATTGCATGTTTGTGACCCTGTCAGTCCATGATATAGAGGAGATCCTACGGAAGCACCTGATGTAATGGTTCATTTTACATTTGATTGTGCTGGAGGATCTGGGTGATGCATCCAGCACAGCTCATTTAACACTTGTATACTTTACAACATTTTACGTTCAGGGATACTCCCATGAGTACGCATATTATTTCATTCCACTCAGTGTCTTCTTACGAGTAGGACCAACTTCAAATTCTTGTTATTTTGCATTTTAAACATTAACTTTAAATTTCTAAGGAAGGCATAAATGGTGAGAGTCGAATAGTGATTATTTAAATTTATCGTTTTTTTTTTCTATTTGAGTAAATTTAATTATGTTTATGCATCTATGTATATGTAGCCACACCTATGTGGCGTTTTTTTTTTTCATGCGTATTGCTCTTTGTTTGATAATCATAAATAACAAGTTTATATTCATAATATATTACGAGACATTTAATTTCCTATACTTATGTTAATTGGTAATGTATTATAATTAGTATTTTTTCTTTTTTTTTTTTTTTTTTTTTTTTCA